TCGCTAACACTCAGAGCTAACCTGTACTGGAGAGCATGTGTGTGAAGAAGCAGGAAATAAAAAGGAACTCACCTTGTGGTATAACCGGCAAGAGAGAAAGCCTTTGAGCTCCATACTGTTTCAGAGATAATCCTTGATAATCCATGATATGGCGTTTCATCACGGCAGTATTTAGTTTAGACAGTAGCTGCCGGGTCCCGCATGAGCTCAGACCCCTCCTTTTTATTTTTTAAAGCTTTATACCCCAAATCAGCACTTTAGAAACAGGAAGTGAAATAGGGGGATATGAGGCATGGCTAGAATGGGTGATCTGTTTGGTATTTTGAGCAAAACACTTCATAGACATGTTTTTTATATATTTTTATATATCTGAGACCTATGCTATTGCCTAAACATAGCACGATAGGTGACCTTTAAATGAGAGTAACCACAGTTTATTACAGCTTACTTTTTTTTTAAACAGACCAATTTGAATTATCGTCAGACTAAATTTCACAATTCACTGCACCCTCCTAACGCCATAATGCCCTCTTGATTAAGTATTTTTTTATTTGTCTAATAGATTATTGTCTTAGTGTTACTCACGACCATAGAGTGAGTTTAATTTTAATTTTGTAGACCGCAGCCTCAGAGCAGTTTGAGCTCAGAGAGTCGGGGATCAGAGGAACAGATGGCGTGTTCAGTGGGGTCGAAGTATTATGGGATTAATTACTCTGATATTTTTGAGAGAGCTAATTAGAAGCGAGCGGGGGATCGAGTCTGTTTGGACTGAAGGTCGTTAGAGATGTCAGCAAACCACTTCTCTCCTTAGTTTTGTTATTTTTCATGTTCAAACGTTCAAAATAAACACGATAAAAACAATTCCAAAAGTACGACCGAAAAGGAAAAAATTGTAAAATTCAATAAAACAAAAACATATGATCATAATCTGTTTAAAACATATACAAATAACCAAGCAAAAACAAATCAATAGAAGCATAAGAAAAGACCAATGGAAGGGGAAGGGGGTCAACAGACATTTGCTAAATTGATGTCGACAATGGATAAAAGCTGCTTGTCCTTCCAATGCAGTGAAGCTAGAACGGGAGAAATAAGCCCTTTTTCGCTAGATTTGTTAAAAGATTAGTTCTGAATAAGCTGTTTCTCTATTGTATATGAAATAATCTGTAGATGAACACGTGAATGAGCCTTTCAGATTCTTGTTTATTTAAAAACTGAACAATATTTTGTATTCATTTGTCTCCTTCCTCTTCGTCAGGAGCAGACGCCCGTCATCGAGTCGACGCCAGATATCCACGCTCAGCAGCCAATCAGATCACTGTCACACAACTCTTCACGCAGGTACACACACACACACACACACACACACACATAGTCAATAGCAGAGCAACACATAACACACACGCACACATTGCACACACACGTGCATGCACACACACACACACACACACACATGCACACACACGCACACATATATACACACACACACACACAGATTGGAAGCACACCTGAACCTTTCTTTTTGCATCTTGGCCAACACATCTTGACTCGTGACACACACACACACACACACACACACACACACACACACACACACACACACACACACACACACACACACACACACACACACACACACACAGACTATGCCCCTGTGTTGTTCTTTCAGCATGTGGTCGCAGAGAACTGCTGAGTCATCGTTAATGTGGATCACAGCATATGTTGCCCTAAATAACAAATGCTCGGCTCTGCTGGAAACGCAGAATAATCACTATAAGAGTCACATGATGAACAGAATTAGCATTTTCTATTTCAAAGCAGGACATTTGTACATGTTGAGTGTATGAGAAACATTTAAATATGACATTATGTTTCATGCAGTGCCTATAATCTGTGTTTCAGAACAAGCAGAGACCCTCTCTCTCTCACAGACTTCAAACTGGTTGCAGTGCTCGGCCGGGGACACTTTGGGAAGGTACACTTTATTCATTTTGTTAAACTTACACTCTTAAAGAGGACATGTCAGTATTTAGTGTCTCTCCTGGGACATGTCTCCATGCTCAAACATTTCTTTCTCATACTGCCTGTTCTGCAGCACCTCTTTTCACCCTCTGTCTGAAACCAGAGCCCAGTCTGCTCTGAATGCACAAAAACCTATATAACACTCTACAGGAAAGGGAAACCCCCCAAAAAGCATATTTGGGTCATTTTCATCGCTATAATAGTAGCAGAAAGCAGTTTTTCTCATTTTCTCAAATCTCTCCTTAACCCACTTTACATACAGTACCTGCTCAGCACCAAATAGCAGACATAGCCAGTAATCTACCAGCCAGTTCAACTTAAGTATTTGTTCTTAAAGTTTTAAATCTTCAGTAGGAACAAAAGGGCAATGGAATGAACTTGCATGTTGTCTTTTTCATTTGTTGACTCAATTAAAAACCTCCCCAGGTGTTGCTGTCAGAGTACAAACAGAAGGGCTCTCTATATGCCATCAAAGCTCTGAAGAAGGGAGACATCGTAGCAAGGGATGAAGTGGAGAGGTAACAAATCTCTCTGTGACCTCCAGCAGTCTCAGCTATCCCATAATAACATCTCACTGCAGTGACCTCTGCCCCTCCCCTGTGTTCCCTCAGCCTGATGTGTGAGAAGCGGATCTTTGAGACGGTGACCGGCTCGCACCACCCCTTCCTCGTCAACCTGTTTGCATGTTTCCAGACGCCGGAGCACGTGTGTTTTGTGATGGAGTACACGGCGGGGGGGGACCTCATGATGCACATCCACGCAGACGTCTTCTCCGAGCCCCGCGCTGTGTGAGTCCAGTGTGTGTGTGTGGG